CCAGCACGCGTGCCAAAGTGTCACTTCGCTACCAGATTGATTGAGGATGTAGCTTTAACGTACGGGAAATTATAATTGCATTTCTTTGTCCTTGTTCATTGCCTGTGGTCTGACAAGGATAAAATTATGCTTGATATTCAACTTGACGTAGCTTGACAAGTGATCGATATTCAATTGTTTGTGTTTTTGATTGACAAATACGTTGCATGTCACGCTGTTTTCCTCCTTCCTTTTTTATCCCGTGCAAATAATAAGAACGGATTGCTATACGTATGTCTAACATAATTTGGTACGTTTTGCCTCGTCTTGCGCAATAAGCGTTCTGTGTCTTTTTCTATCTAATAAAGTTTTCGTATTATTACCTCTTTGTCTGGTAAAATAGATAGGTCTCTTACAACGCACAGAAACATAAGTATATCGCTACATCGTTAATTTTCAAGTGGATAACTACATAATATAGTGCATGATCGTTAACTCTTCTTTATTATTAATTTTCCATACGTTAAGTGAAGTGAATGTAATTGACCCTTTATACAGCCACTCGATTCGTTTTATGTGCAATAGGGAATTTTCATATTTCTCAAATTATTTTTTTTTAGATACTTCTAGTCATCAGTTATAACATAATTTTCTTTTTTTCCATTTCAATTTATACGTTGTACGAAAAAAAAATTATTGAAATTCAAATGAAATACTTTGGCGCGAAAACACGGAATTTCAATTTGACAGCGCTTGTGACGTTGAGATTTTGTAAACATAAAATACGCAGCAAACGAACTCTTGCTGACTTAGTGCTATTTTTGTGTTATTCAAGTATGTTAAAGTTTGCTTTTTGTGAAAATTGTCGCAATGGATGAAGAATATTGTGAAGGACTGCTTTTGTATTTTTTTTACGTGCAAATTCCCTATCACAGATTTCCCTATTGACGGGTTTGTTTACAGAATCGTGACGTCAAAACAGGTATTCATCATAGGAGCATTTTTTTGGCGGGAAAATTTTTATTTCAAATTTGATATTATCTTTTGTGTAACAAGGACGGTATCAGTTAAATAAAAACTGGTCATATGAATATTGTGCAGCATAAACTATCGATTTAAAACAAATTTGGAAAATTTTACCTCACTTGCAAGTTCCCTATTCAGTGTGATCGGTTTATTACGATACTAACCTATTTCAAATTTTTGCTTTCTGTAGGTCATTGCAACAAGATCAGAGTGGTCTGAAAATGAATTTTTCGGTTTTTACAATTTTCCGCGGGACAATTAAGCAGAATGACTGCACTGGATTTTTTTTGGTTAGTTTCACTTTGAGTTATGTGAACCAAGCGAAAAGTTTTTGATATTTTTCAAATTACCAGAAAACAGGCCAAAAAATTGATATTTATTAAAAATCCTTGTACCTTTTTAAAAATTCACACATAGACGTAAAATCGAATCCTGAACCACTTTTCTCTCTACAATTTTTCGATTTCTGGTCATCTAACCCCACTTTTTACATATTATTTAAGGCGAACTTTTCAAATTTCCCGCCATAACTGTGGTCACATGACATCTGTCACAGTGCTTTTTTTTGTTGACGGGTATGCTGAATCGATCCCACGTAACATTTTCTTTGATATCCTAATAATAAAATATTTTCCCATTTGTTGCAAACTTTTTGGCGGTCACTGTATAAAGTCAGAATTTGTAAGATTATCCACTTTTTGTCAATTGGCCTTTTAACAGGAATTAGTAATGTTACTTTACTAAACTAGTACAAGTTATTCAAGTACAAATAAGTGGATTGTTGTGGAACTTATGGGTGGACTCAGCCATCTATTCACCAATATGTTGTTCAAGTACAATACTAACCTGATTCACTCAGTTGTGAATTTTTCTCATTAGTTCAAAAACTACACGTTTCAGATGAGTGTCTTATTTGAACAGTTCAACAGTATATTGGTGAGTAGATGGCTGTGCATTGTGCAAGATACGGTTTTTCGAAGGAATGGCCCATACAAATATGGGAATAGGGGAACTATTTAGGAGAATAAGGTGATTTTAAATAGGTAGGCACAGGGTGTTTTTTTATAAATTGACACTCCACCTACACTTTTACCTCTACAGGTAAAAGAAAGGTGTAAATACAAAAGTTGTATAGTTTCGTCTGAATTTTTAGAAACCATGGTCAGAAACAAAATTTGAATGTCAGAAATGTGAAATTTTGCATGCTTCCAACTTTTTTCAAATGGGATGCCCTATATTTCATTCTATATTATTGAAGAGCACAATGTCCCGATCTATATTTGATTGAGCAATCTCTCATATATTTGGCTCCAAAAATTGTAAAAATACTATCCTACTACTTACTGATTTTGTGATCCATTCTACTTGTACAGGTGAAAGCTGCAGGTAACATTTGAGGTACCTACTTGGTTTCTCTGATAAAGTATGTTTTTTTTTTTAAAGATAAAAGTCAAAATGACATCATGTTGGCAATACAATGTAAAATTGTCAATGCTTTCAAATTTTTATGTAGAAAAGGCTTGTGCTGCCAACATAGTTACTAAATTTTTGACTTGGGGAATCATCTTTAAAAAAAAAACAGACTTAATAATTTTTAAGATTTTTAGAACCAAATATGTTGGAGACGGCTCAACCAAAATCCAAATATAGACAAACTATATAGTTTTGGAATCGAGAAATTATGTTCTTCAAGAATATAGAACTGCTGAAAACATACAATATTTCACATTTTTGTCATTCAATTTTTATTTTTGACCATGGATTTTAAAAATTTAGCCAATACTGTGTAACTTTTGTATTCACACCTTTCATCTACCTGTAAAAGTAAAGGCTGTAGAGAAGGTGGGTTGTCAATATATAAAAAAAACACCCTGTACATTATCTTATTGATTTTGTATGAATATTTGCCCCCCCCCCCCCACTATATCCGCCACTGCTGCATTAAGTGAAAGTTCACGTACTTAGGTACAACAGTAAGAAATTATTTAATAATGAACCTCTCACAATAAGAAAAATTAATGAATATAGGGTTTTTAGGCGCAAGGTGAAGGGCTGGCTAGTTGTATACGTGTTTTTTAAAGTGTGGAGGGGTATTTTCTAGCCACTTTATCTCAGTTTGTTTTTTGTATTGATGTAATGTTCATACGTAATATACGTACAATTGTTTTATTCTTTACCTGTTTTTAAATTAATTTACTGTAGTTGATGATCGTATTTATTATTTATATGTGAATAAATATGCATGTACTGGCTATTAGGTTTTAATAACAACTTTGTCAATGAAACTTTTGTGTACCTACTTCTGACAATAAATAAAGCATATTTGAGTTTTGAGTTTGGTATCTCTACTCAATTAGAAACAATAATTTATTTTTTAGAAAAGTGTATTCTCCGCCCAAAATAAATTGGTTTTATAACTTCTACTTTTCCCTATACAGGGTGGGGCACGAAAAACTTCCCACCCAGGTTTTCTCAGGTGTTAGGTGATTAATAGAAAATCGCTCGGACACATCATTTTTTATTTTTCGGGGACATATTTTATTGGTATTTTCACCCCCTACCTGTCAACCCTCAGACGGGGGTGACAGGTACCCCCAAACTCTCAATAGGAATGGGGGGTCGAGTGATACGCGATTAGATAGCTATTTTTATTAAGATTATATTCCCAAAGTTTCAAGTTGCTACTATTTACCCTGTCGAAATGACAGCTTGTCAAAGTTGTGTGTTTTTTACCCCATAATAACACAACAGATTTTTCGAGTGAATAAAAACAAACCATTTTAAGCTGAACTGTTGAATGACAATACATACTTCAATTAAATACCAATGGTATTTCATTACTATGGATAGATACCCTTGAAAATCTGTTATTTTGTTATTATGTGTTGAAAACCACACAGTTCAGATACCCGGAAAAAAGCATTTTTCCTAACTTTGACAAGCCACCATTTCGGCATGGTAAATGGTAGCAACTTAAAACTTGGGGGATAAAATCTTAATAAAATTATCTACCAAATGACGTATCACTCGGCCCCCCTTTCCTATTAAAATTTTGGGGGTATCTGTCACCCCCATTTAGGGGTTGACAGGTAGTGGGCAAAAATACCAAAAAAAATTGTCCCCCAAAAAAACAAAAATTGACGTGTCCGAGCGATTTTTGATTAAACACCTAACACCTGAGAAAACCTGGCTGGGAAGTTTTTCGCGCCCCACCCTGTATATATACGAGATAAAATAAAACATGAATTTCTCTATAGTTACATATATAGCCATAGTCTTATGCAATAGCTACTCTGACACCATGGACACTTTCTTTCTAGCCTTGTTTCTTGGCCTTGCAGCTTATTATAACATTTCCGTGTGCAATAAATTTATCTACCCATACCCCGTGGGTCGATTGCCGGTTCGTTCACCGCATTTTATGGCAGTGAAATTGTTGATACGACCGTAAGATACATTACTGCAGCTTTTTTCCGCCGGACGTTTAATAAGTATGTATATAATTATGGTCAATGGATATTTAGAGCAGTAAAATATCTACACCAGGAAGGCCAGTTTTAATGAGGCAATAGATATAGAATTAATTTCTCCGGTTGGTATTTTATTTGAAATAAATTTTCGATTTCAATTATTAATATAATAGCTAAGTATGTATGATCATTTGGCAAAAGTAGGATTTTCAAAGGAAAGCACATTTTTTTCGATATGCGGAACAAGCAAGTTAATTTCTAACTGTCAACAGATGTCTAACAGCAAAAGAAGAGACTGCAGTATCACTCTTAGAGATTTATTATCATTAGAGAGTTATTGGACGTGCAATAAGGACAAGCAGTATTTAAATAAGCCTTATTTTGACATCTACGCATGCGCTTTTGGGTCCGAAAATACGGATTCCCTTAATAAGGTTACTGCTTGTCTTTATTTGTGTATGGTTAGTGCGAGGCAGTAAACTTCCCTTATTTCAAATTTCTGACATTTTGGACGACTTTGACGTTTTGCTTTTCGACGATGACGTAATTTTACTTAGAAAATTTATTTTTTACAATAGTTTTCCATTTTACTGTGGGTAACATCAAAAAATGAGTATCAGCAGAAAATCACAAACAAAAATAAACACTTTCTGAGGCTGAAATTTATTAACATAGCTATCATCTGTCAAAGTTATAAATACAAAATAAGGTAATACTCTAGCACCTACTACAGTCTTCCAATAACTGTTTTTTTCTTGGAAAAATAGTACTGATGCACTAATAAAATAACGTAGATCCTTAATACCGCGAGGCAGTATTTAATAGTTCCAATAACTCTCTATTATCTAATAATTTCCTTAGCGCTTTATTATTATGTTATTATGTAAAATTTGAATATTTCAATAAACAATTCGGGTTTACTCGATGAATTCTGCTCATCGCATTAGGTAAAAATATAAATAATTTCCTTACCTATCTCATCTGTATCAAGAACATTTTAATGAAAAAAACAATTTTGTATTTGTTCTTTTTGATAAAAATCATAACAACATCAAGGTTTTTGAATGTTTTCCTCGTTTTAATTTTGTTTTTTCAACATAGATCATAATAATCCAAAATATAATAAATTAAGTAAATAAATAAATAAATTAATTAAATCACATTACAGCTACCTAGGAACTATTTAATGCCATTCGAATTCAGCATTTCTAATATGGCGTACAACGTGGAATTGTAGACAGTGAGGTTGCCCAAAATCGGATCTATTTGTGATGGACAATGCTTGGGCCTGGTATCCATTTTTTTATTTCCACTGGTGTCCAGATTTTTTTCCAAACTGGTACGTATACCTGATAGAAACAAAAATTAATTCAAGGCAATAAAAGTTTCAGTTTGATGCTTACTTTTTTGACACTCCATTCTTTTACCCATCGATATTTCCATTTTTTGTTTAACTTCCATACTCCGTCTAATGAATGATGATGATGAGAAGAATCAAATGACCTAAGTTATAAAAAAAGGATAGAGAATATAACTGTATCATAAAAATAAAGATTTCTATAAACTCACTTTGACACTGGATTGCTGTGACTAGTTTTAACACAAATTGCAAGCAAGGCTAAGAATATGAAAACCTAAATAATATGACAAAAATCAATAAATACAATAAGTAGGTATGTTCTATTAGGACATCAATATTTTTTTGAAGGAAACCAAAGAGTTTCTAGATTTCCACAAAAGAAACTTTTTTGTTTCCTTTCAAACTTTGTAAGCCTCTCCATCCAGTATCGGCTTGATCAATCTCATAAGATATAAGTATGTACTTACATAAATTTTCATCCTATATAACAGTCGATATAACTAAAACAACCAACGCATTGTCACATTATCATAGAAAATCTTGTATGTGACCAAAGTAAAATAATCATTGCGTTTTATATAGGCTTAGAAAACGAATTTGCATCCGAAAACAATGACATTGAAAGCGATACGAATTTTTGTGTCTCATCAAAATTCTTTGGATGAAAAATAAGATTTTCGTTTTTATAGGAATCATCGGTTGAATACTAAAGATTAAAAAGTGAAAACTCAATATGTCGGTCAAAATAACAGGGGTCAATACACTCTAAACTCTTTTTGTTTCTCAATTATTATAAATACTGCGCCTATTTTTGAAAACTCGAGACATCAATTTATTTATAAAACTCATTATCAGTTTATAGTCAAGGCAACATATAAGTGATTTGAATTGCAAATGCAAGTACGTGCTCTATTTTCTCACCACCTGCATCCTCATGATAAAATAAAATATTTGATTGCAACATTATAATCACATAATTAATTTATGAACTAATAAGACAGCTTACAAGATAAATGTATAATATTAAATAAAACACTTGACCCAGAACCGAGCATTGATATACCTAAGTAAATAAACACTCAATAAATAAAAATATTAATCAATAACATATTGACGTGACTATTTCACTAGAGTGTATTACACCAGCAATAAATTCGGTATTCACCTGACAATAACGCTACCTGGACAATACCAACAACATGGTATTTCAGCGACCATCTTTTGACATTGTCAAACTGGTATTTTTGATTTGAAGTTTTTATTCATAATTTTGCATTCTATTTATTTCAAAATCTTACGTGAAATAGTCATGACGAATACCACTCGAGAAAAAATTGTGTAGGAAAAATTGTTCTCAAGGTTTTATTCAAGTTTGTTGCTTTTCGGCAATTTCCCTCATGATATTTTTGATAAAATCACTCGCCTGACGGCTCGTGATTTTGTCAAAAATGTCATTCGCGAAATTGCCAAGCAACAAACTTTCATACCTTTCGAAAATTTTGCCGACAAAATTTTTTCTCTTGTGATATTATATATGATAATCATTTTCCTGGATGGATATAGTAGATCCCCTTCAAACCTTTCCATAGGTATCCGTCCATTTATATAGAAGATTGGATCCAGCTTAAGCGATATTTAATTTCATCATTCGCTGTCGTCTGTGACATCTACAACGTACAACTTGGTCTGTCTCAGACGGCAAATTAAGAACCTGTTAGGCTGCTCATGTCTTAAATTATCTTGCTATATAGCCACTTAAATTGTGTGTAGTGTTACAGTTACTTTGGTAATTTCACCACTTTGTCGCTTTATAGTCTGCTAGCTGGTCTTTCAAGCTGATCAAATTCTGGAACCATTGCAGATAACTGTAGTTTCTAGTACCTATGATACCTGCCTATAGTAGATATTGTACGATCTAAATGGCTCAAATTTTTGTTGGATGTTCAGCCTGCAGACACTGCATAAAAGACACACGCAGCAGTGAAAATATTTAGGTTTACAAAATTCAAGCGACAATAGGCTATAGGCTTTATATTTCCCAATCTTCATGAAATTCCTAAGCAAAAAACGATACTGGGTCAGCTTCTTGTAGAGATGAACAACAGCAATTAGACCATTTATAGAAACGGGTATTGATTGCTTTGGACCAATTGAAATAACTGTCCAAAAAAGCTACGAGAAAAGATGATATTTAAGTATGGTGACTAGAGCTGTACATTAGAGATATGATCTTACCCTTACCACAAATTAGTTTTTGAAAACATGACAGTGCCATATTCAGATTAGGTACTGGACACTGCGACACTTTGTTGTATCTGCAGAGTCTCCATATGAATCATATGATACATCACTGTCAACATGAATCGCAGGATTTTTAGTGAAGTTGTAAATCACTCATGGAACCTTCAAGATATTTGAAGATCTGTTGAAGCATTTTCATATGAGTTTCTGTCGGGTCAGTTTGAAACTGCGATAACTTGTTCATAGCTGCATAGGCTGTCAGATCTTATTCGCATGACAAGAAATAGAAGATTTCCAATCTTTAACTGATATAGCTCTTTGTCTCCTCTTTTATCTTGCTTCTTGCCTTTAAAGCCTTGGTAATAGGATCCATTAAAACAGAAGCCGTCTCAGTTCATCATGTCATATTATTGCAAAAGTTTTTCTAGGTATCTTTCTTGATTTAAGGACACATATTAAGGATTCCATAAAATTTGCATCGATAATAAAAATTTGGGTTTTCGTAGGTAGGTGACCTCAAAATTCTTGGATTAAATATTTTGCACTTGTTGAACATCTTTATAAGTTTTGCCTATAGACCGTTAGCTAATGACATATTTTGCTGACCGATTTTTTTTTCGGGGATTTTAACCACTGGAAATTATCTCGGTGCTGAGCTCAAAAAAATGGAAATTTAGCGACCGGACGTCTGCTATGCATGTGGAAAATTTACTTTCCTTTTGTAGTGGCCGTAAAATATAATTCAACAGCTGACCGACCAATGGAAATTATTTTTCTGGTTCCGAACGATATCAAATTTGATTCTGTCGATTGCCAAATTCGAGAAAACGATCAGCATCGCATCGGAGTATTCTTTCACAAGATCGCGTCCTTATTTCAACTATTTCAGTACGTGCAAACCTTATGGCTTTGGTTTTTCACTATTAGATTGTTCTATAATGTTAATGTGTTAAAATGCCATGAAAAAGAAATTGAAAAAATAACCTTTTTTCTTCTGCAAAAGGAAAATACATTTTCCATATGCCTAGCAGAGGTTCGGTCGCTAAGTTTTCATTTTTTGAGCTCAGCACTAACATAATTTTCATTGGTTGAAATCCTCGAAGAGAGAAAATCGGTCAGCAAAATCTGTCATTAGCTGACGGTCTAATACTTTTCTTCAAATAACATCAACTGGCTCAACGTCAACACCTTCTGAAATTTTTATGTAAATTTCAATATCTAAATCACCAATGAGCAGCAATGTTCAGCAATCGTATCATTATATACACAGTGTGCCAGTAAAATTCTTATTGTCTCATATCTCACAAGTGGAGAGAAGGTTTTCTTAAAATCAATGCTTTGAATCATTTTCTGGAATTTCTCTTTTGAAAATATATTTGCTTCCAACAGCTCTACAGTTTGGAGATCCTTCTACTATCTCCCAAACTTTATTATTTTCCATGGACTCAAGTTCGTCTCTGATTGCCAAACTGGTTTTGTCTAAATCAACACAGGAAATAGGTAGCTTCTTTGTAGGACCGCGGTTCATAACGTATAATTAGCACGTAGAAACTCATCATACTGTTTTGGTGGTTTCCTTGATCTATCACTTCTTTTTGACTCAAAATATTTCAAAGAAAGAGTAGTTTTTTTTTTCATAATATCTATTCTGCTTCTTTATGTTAAGCATATTTATACATTGATTATTTTCGATGGACATTTAAATTAATAGGAATCAAATTATAAAAAGAATTCATTCAGCAGCATATGAAAGCGTCTAATATTGAGATTGGTGGTTGCTAGGGTATAACTAGTTGTTTGTTATTTGTATTTGCGGCAGATTCTATACTGGCAGAGTGACTTAAAAGACCGAGAGTGAGTTAATAGTTATTAATGATATTAGTTCGATATGAACACCATAATGAAACGCGTGTAACGTTGAACCACGAGGCGTCAGCCGAGTGGTTTAGTTACAGAAGTTTCATTAATAAAGTTCATATTGAACATGTATCATTCAAAATTTAATCTACGATGGTCCAAATAGATTTGATTTGCCTTGAAATAGCAAAAACTTTTCAAATTAAAATTCATTTGATTTTTAGAATTTTGACTTTGGCAGCTTCAATATTGGAGTCCATTTTCGTTCCATAAATCCAGTTTTGTAGTGGAAAATGATATTAATATTGGTGATTCTGAGTTCGGAAGTGTCTCTTCAAATATCGAGACAACATTAATGAAAAGGTTTTTCTGGTAACTAACTTTTTTTTTGTATATTTTTCATTTCATAATTTGGGTGATTTTATGAATTGTTAAACGCACTACTGCTATTATGAAGGACCTAATGACATTCAAATGACAATGCTAAATGTGTCATAATAACATCGACGTAGATTAAAATATTTTAAATCACTGAGGTGATAAACGTCTACCTACGTACCTTTGTTATTATGCGTTCAATAATGTAATTTTTAAACGTCAAAATGGGATAAAACTATATAAAAGGGGAAAAACGTAGAAATAGTTGCGGAAATGAAACACGATGTGACTTCGTTCACTGCAATAATGACAACAATTTTATTTACTAGGTAGGGTTGCCTAGTCAACAACAATAGAAAATTGATAGGTGAAGGTAAAATTAGATGGAGTGGCAATACGATATTTCAAACTTAATTCAACGCCCCAAGTAGTTCAAAATCATCAATTATCAAAATATCGGGCCTTCAAAAAAAAAAAAAAAAAATCAAAGATTGCTATGGTTTTTTAAACGTATGTCTTATTTTTAAAATTTTAAATTTTAAATTAGTAATATTTTTCTTAAATTTTGTCAATGAACTTTAATGTCAAAATGTCATATCAGAAATCCTGACCAATGATGAAACAATAATGCGACATACGTTTTCGTATATTCAAAGCAATCTTTGATTGGTTTCTTTTTTGAAGACCCGATACAATAACTATTTATAAGTGATACCTAACATTCCAACAAATATACGTAAAATGCTTTGTACTACCTCAGGATTTTGTTAATATATCAGCCAGTTTTTGAATACTCTAAAGCAACTTGATTATTCGCAACTGTATAAAGTGATATCGCACATCAATATGCTTTGAGCGTTTGTGATAAAGTCGATTGTTTAAGTTTCTGTGTGCTCTGACTATCATTATAAAGCATAATACACAATAAATTGCCAGTTAATTCTTCTATAAAATTCCTCAGATAGATAGCTTTTTTTAATGCCTCAGTTAAGGCCATAATATTCGGCCTTGGTCGGTACTAGATAATGCCACAGTCTTTTGTTTACAGCTATTGCATGAAACAACTGATCCAGGTAACTTGAAACAAAAACCTGTGTATGATCTCCTATCTACAATATTACTCTCCCTACTCCCTCCAAATTCAAATTGTCTTTTTCAAATTTTAAACACATACTTTTAGCTTTTTGCAAATATTTCAAAATACGTTTAGCATGATTCCAATGAGATTCATCAAAGGAGTTGTTAAACTGACTCAGGTAGGTTAAACTATATTTATGATATATCTGACCTAGTCATGACAGCAAGAAACATAAGACTACCTTTCAACTGCTGATATGGCAAATTACACGTTTCTTGACTCTTTTCCAAATTTAAATTAATTCCCAAAGGCGTATTCACAGTTTTCCAATGTATCATATTTAATTTATTCAAAATCTGATTAATATAATTTTCTTGATCCAAAGTCAAAAAACCTTCAGTTTTATTTATATTAACATTCATGCCCAAGCATTGCTTGACT